CCTTCCTCCGTCAGCATCGCCATAGGGACAAATGTGTTAGCCGGCCAAGAGAGAGAGAGAGAGTGATGGATGGGAGGGGAAGGAGGTGGAAGAGAGGGGAAGAGAGGAAACGATGATGACAAGTGGGGCTCTTTTTTTTATTATTTTTTGGTTGACTAGACTGCCACGTGTATATTAAGTAGGGTCAAAACAGTTTTGAATTGAGTTAGGTGGATAATTTATCTGGTTTGAAAAGTTTAATGTTAAAAATGCATGGTATTGTAATTTAGGAGAGTAAATTGAATGACGAGCGCAATAGTTAGGGGGTAATTCGTACATTTTTTCCTAATTAGAAAGAATATGCGTTTGCTACGGGTACATAATGTTTTTAACATTTTCGAAGACAAAATGTTTGCATCACCAAATTTACCGTAGTAGGGGTATTAATTGAAAATTACTATGATGAGTACTTGTAGCTGTTTTGTTACAAATGGACTGGCGTTTCTTTTTGCAGCTTTTCATATGGCCGCTAGTACTCCCTCTCTGTCCCATTTTAAATGCAGCCATGATTTTCCGTACACAACTTTGACCATTCGTTTTATTTAAAAAAATTTCAAAAATTTTAAACATAAGTTACGTATAAAGTAATATTCATGTTTTATTATCTCATGACAATAAAAATACTAATTATACAAAATTTTCAAATAAGACGGATGGTCAAAATTAGACACGGAAATTTGTTGCACTTAAAATGGTACGAAGGGAGTAGCTTGCTAGCTGCATGCTTGCATGCACTCTGCCCTTGGCGAATTGAATTGCAGTAAGGCCAGCCATTTTGTTCCACATGCTGTACTTGTATTGGTACTTGTTTGCAAACGGTTACATGTTGTAGAAATGTTTTAACGTTTCCAGATCCTCAGCTGAAAAACATTTAGGGTGTGTTTGGATGAAGGGATATAGGTGGATAGGACATGGCGGCCCATTATTTTTGGGTTTTTGGTTCCTGGGCAGGGGTGGGATGGGGCGGCCCGGGGAGAAATATTCCCCCCAGATGCCGGATGGGGGGATCCGGCCGATTCGGCCGGATGCAGCCGCCCGAGCGCTCGGGCGAGCAGGGGCGAGCGACATGTGGGTCGCGTCACCCCTCTCACCACGAGGCAAGCTCTGTGACCAGGCAAGGCGACGACCGTGGAGGCGAGCTCGGTAGCGACGGCAAGGGCGAGCCGGCGACGAGAGAGGAGGCGAGCTCGGCGGCGAGAGAGGAGGCGAGCTCGGCGGCGTCCGGGGAGAGAGGGCGAGTGGCGGCGGCTGGGGAGAGAGGGTACGAGGCGGCGGCGACCGGCGATTTCGAGAAGGCGAGCGGCGGCCGGCGCTTTCGAGAAGGCTTTTCTTTTCTTTTTTTTTTTTGTTTTTCTCCTTCCCCTTTTATTTCTTTCTGCTTTTTTATTTCTATTTAGATTTTTTTTAGTAGATTGATAATTTTTGGGTGAGAATTTGGAGGGGTATACTCACCACCTCTAATGAAAGGGTGATTGCAGCCACTCATCCATCCCACTCCCCCAACCAAATAAAAAAATAGATCACCACATCCACTTTCATCCCTACAACCAAACAAAAAACTGGATCGTCATATTCACTCCACCAAACAAAAAACTGAACCGTCATATCCAGCAAAATATGGACCGCCATATCCCATCCAACCTTGACCAGGAACCAAACACACCCTTAATCAATTAATTAAAGGCACTTCCATGTGCACAGATGAATCGTAGGTGACTCCAGCTAACTAGGCGGAACAATATACATGTACAGCCAGTAAATTGTTTGTGTTTAGTTAATTTGCAGAACATACTTTCTGGAAATTTAAAACACTTAATGCTTCCCCACAAAAGGAGAGGGGGGGGGGGAGGGGGCTTAATGCTTCCTGTATGTCAAGTTGCTAATCTTCCCTCTTTTTTTTTTTTGAACTCTTTTTTTATTATTATTGTTGAAATATCCGATCTCTGTTCCTATCTAATTGATCTAGTTTGAGTCAAGCGACAACGACATTATTGGGATAAGCAATGATTTTGCAGTATGTAGGGACAAAAAAAACATTCGAATCAAGTTCATTTTGTCTTTGCCACAGTTGTCTAAATATCTACACAACAAAATGGTTGGCCAAAAAACTGAAATGCCTCTACTGGACAAAGCCACAAATGGGCCATGCATGTCTTCAAACAAAAAACTCCCAAAAGCGTCAGACCTACTTTGGAACCTGGAAAATTCTTAGAGCATGTATAATCCGTGTCCGTGGTCGTTCCCCCGGCTCGCGCAGTTTGGCTTTGTTGCTTTTTGAGCCGGCGTCGTCGTCCAGCAGGGGAGCGCGGCGCATTACTAGGGGACGCGGCTCTCTCCACGCCTCGCCTACTTTTTCGTGAAGAGTTGGAGCCAGGCATCGTGTTGAGTGCGTGGGGAGCTTGTATACACGGCGCCCTATCCCGAAATTTCCCCTTGTAACTCTCACCCTAGCGATTCAAAATCCCCCCATAGCCAGCGGCCGCCGGCTCCTCGTCCTCATACGCCGCGCCGCTACCGCCGGCGCCAATGGCGCAAACCCTAATCACCGTCGGCGATGGGAGAGAGAGGGAAAGGGAGAGGGAGAGAGAGAGAGGGGAGGGAGAGGCGAACGGCGGCGGCGAGAGGGAGAGGGGAGAGGGAGAGAAGAAGGCGACGGCACTATCACCGTTGGAGGCGAGCGCCACCACTGTCTAGCTATAAAATCCCATTTGGGTAGCCCCTTAATTAACTATGTCTAGCTATACAAATGCCAAAGTGAAATCTGAGATCAATTCAGAAAACCACCGGGTCCCTTTTTCCATTTTGGAACAAGGTTTTTGTCAAACTATTTATTGATATATTTTGTTAGTTACTACTCAACAAGTAACAATATAATAATGTACATTAACTCACGAGTAAAACAAATAATCCATCGTTTCATATTATAAGTCGCTTTAATTTTTTTCTGGTTAAATATTTTTAAGTTTGCAACATCTACAACATTAAACTAGTTTCATTAAATCTGACATACATTAAATATATTTTGATAATATGTTTGTTCGCGTGGAAACAATACTATATTTTTTCCGATAAACTTGCATTGGTTAAACTCAAAGAAGTTTGCATAGAAAAAAACAAAACATCTTATAATATTAACTTTTGGATACTCGTGGCACGCTTTTCAAATTACAAAACGGTGTGTTTCGTGCTATAACTTTCTATATGAAAATTGTTCTAAAATATCAGATTAATCCATTTTTCAAGTTTATAATAATCAAAAGGAAAAGGCTATACGTACTAACTTTTTCTTAATAAATTCTTACTAATACTGATGTGTCATGCTATGAGTGCATCTAGATTTTTTTGTAACTTTCATCTACTTAAATCAAACGGTTGAGATGATTGTTAGTAAAAGTTTAGTAAGAAAAATTTAATACGTGTAGCATTGCTCTAATCAAAACTCAATTAATCACATGTTATTACCACCTCGTTTTGCGTGAAAAACTTAATTTTCATCTTCAGTACATTCAACCACCACCTAAACGGAAGGAGTATGTGTCTATACCATACAGTTAATTTGTATCGTGGTTTTTTCAATTTGACACTGATAAAGTAGCATAGACATTGCATATATTGTAATGTCTAACTATGCCATGTAAGCATATAATACCAAACAAAGTTTGGCATGTTTCAGCGAAACTAAAACAAAACCCATTATATCAGCTTACCTTCGCGGATAAAGATCCTCTCTAGAAAACTGATAACTTTTCTATCCTCGTAACAGATAAGCTCTCCCAAAACCAAAGTAAACTGGGAAAAAAACAATCGTTTTCAGAGGGGATAAAACGATATGATGGACCAATCCAAAAGTCTATTTTGGATATTTTTTTTCCTAATATATTGACGTGCAATCCTTTTACACGTTCGTGAAAAAGATATCCTTTTTCATAAGAGAAATGAGTTAACAAAATGATTATGATCATCAGCTAGCTAGTTCTACCAATCCATTATGTAAGTCCTCACTAAGGGAGTGTTTAGATTCAGGGGTGTAAAGTTTTGGCGTGTCATATCGGGTATTATATAGGGTGTCACATGGGGTGTTCGGGCACTGATAAAAAAATAATTACAAAATCTGTCAGTAAACCACAAGACGAATTTATTAAGCCTAATTAATTCATCATTAGTAAATATTTAATGTAACACCACATTGTCAAATTATCGAGCAATTATGCTTGAAAGATTCGTCTCGCAAATTAGTCGCAATATGTTCAATTAGTTATTTTTAGCATATATTTAATACTTCATGCAAGTGTTCAAACGTTCGATGCGATATGGTGAAAAATTTTGGGGTGGGATCTAAATAGGGCCTAATATTAGGAGGTAGTAAAAGTACATCGTATAACGATAAAACAATAGTAGTAAATGATAGTTCGACTCCATTACATGTCACATAGAAATATTAAATGACATTCAATTCAACTCCCAGGTGTTTGTCGTGTTGTGAACGGCATATAGCGGTTCGACGGCACTACTTGCCACAATAATATTTGGCTATTTGTCGCGTAGTTAATAACATGTGGTGGTTCAATTTTATTGCTTGCCGTACAATAATATTTGGCGCCATTTTTACATAGATATATTTAAACCGCCATACCAATATTTTAGCGTTATTAATTTTACGTAGAGATATTTAAACCACCATAGCAACATTTTCGCATCATCATATTTTTACGTAGAGATATTTGAACCACTATACTAACATTTTAGCATTCTTCTGTTTAAACGTACGCTTTCCCGTTGTCCTGTGGTTTTGTGAGCACGGATCGACGATGAAAACAGACGAAGAACATTGTTCCTGAGAGCAACAAAACACAAGAAAATCCCATGGCGCAACCGAAACCAGAGATGGGACCAGCAACCCTTTTCCTCTGTGGCCCCGCCAAGTGTAGGGTGAAAAAATTCAGGTATAAATAGCGCAGCAGCCATTGCTAGCCCTCCCACACACAGCAGGTAGCTAGCTTAGCCCCTCACTTTGTGGCAGATCATACTCGCTGGCTACACCACCACCCACATCCATCTGAGCAGTGGAATCATCATCTCCTCCTATATCAGTTGTCATCACCCGGCCTGTAGTGTGCGCTCTGATCCTAGTTAGCTGCTGCTCTTCGTTCCGATCCTAGCTCGTTGCGAATTGAGCCAACGGATCAATCGCGCGCTCCGGCCGCCACAGCCTTTATTACCCAAGCTGTTTCTTTTCCAGAATTTAAAGAAGTAGCAGCTGTAGACAGTAGTTATCCTCGTCGCGACCCCTTGTGTGCAGAGCAGGCGGCGGCGGCGGCGTTAGCTAGCTCGTCGAGCAACATATATGGCAGCTAGTAGTAGCACGTAGTTACTGCAGTGAGGAATTCGTCCGGAATCGCGTTGGGAGCGCGCGGAGTAGCGGACGGCTGAGCGGAGCGCTCTCGGTTTGATAAGGGTTCGCGTGTGTGTGTTCGGTGTGGGGGAGAGTAATTGCACGCATCACAAGAACACTCCTCGCCTCTACTTGGGCTCTCCTGCTCACGTGATTCATACTCTCCCTACTCCCCTCTCCCCACATCCGTTGCGCCTTGCATCTACTCTGTGCCAATCACCGGGCATATATACATGGTTGTGCCTGTGCCGACGACGTTTGAGGGAGCGAGAGAGATGGAGGTGGTGGAGGTGCGTGAGTACAGGGAGGACCGGGACCGCGCCGCCGTCGAGGAGGTGGAGCGGGAGTGCGAGGTGGGCTCCTCCGGCGGCGGCGAAGCCAAGATGTGCCTGTTCACGGATCTCCTCGGCGACCCGCTCTGCCGCATTCGCAACTCGCCGGCCTACCTCATGCTGGTACGCCCACATGTCCACTTCTCTCTCTCTTTTCTCACCCTTTGTGCGGTCGTGATGAGGAGGAAAGCCATCGATTTTTTTTTCCCGGTCTTTCGATTCCGTTCCGTTTTGGCGTGGGGTCCGGCAAGGCTTCCGGAACTGATAACTGTTTTTGTTTTGTGCGAAAAGGTAGCGGAGACAGCGAACGGCGGCGGCGGCGGCAATGGCAGGGAGATCATCGGCCTCATCCGCGGTTGCGTCAAGACCGTCGTCTCCGGCGGCAGCGTCCAGGCCGGCAAGGACCCCATCTACTCCAAGGTCGCCTACATCCTCGGCCTTCGCGTCTCGCCTCGTTACCGGTACATACATACATACATACATACAAACACTTGTTGTACAGTTGTCATATACTACAAAGCCCAATCAAGAAGCGTCCAACTGTCAAGTGGATGGTGGCATTGCCAGTTTGCGTACTTTAGTTTGCTTTAATGAGGACGAGAAATTGATCGAGAGATGTTGTTAACGTTGTGGTGTAATCTTGCAGGAGGAAGGGGGTGGGGAAGAAGCTGGTGGGCAGGATGGAGGAGTGGTTCCGGCAGAGCGGGGCGGAGTACTCGTACATGGCGACGGAGCAGGACAACGAGGCGTCGGTGCGCCTCTTCACCGGCCGCTGCGGCTACTCCAAGTTCCGGACGCCGTCGGTGCTCGTGCACCCGGTGTTCGGCCACGCGCTCCAGCCCTCGCGCAACGCCGCCATCAGGAAGCTCGAGCCGCGCGAGGCCGAGCTGCTGTACCGGTGGCACTTCGCCGCCGTCGAGTTCTTCCCCGCCGACATCGACGCCGTGCTGTCCAAGGAGCTCTCGCTCGGGACGTTCCTGGCCGTGCCGGCCGGGACGCGGTGGGAGAGCGTCGAGGCGTTCATGGACGCGCCACCGGCGTCGTGGGCAGTGATGAGCGTGTGGAACTGCATGGACGCCTTCCGCCTCGAGGTGCGGGGCGCCCCGCGCCTGATGCGCGCCGCGGCGGTCGCGACGCGGCTGGTGGACCGCGCGGCGCCGTGGCTCAAGATCCCGTCCATCCCGAACCTCTTCGCGCCCTTCGGCCTCTACTTCCTCTACGGCGTCGGCGGCGCCGGCCCGGCCTCCCCGCGGCTCGTCCGCGCGCTGTGCCGCCACGCCCACAACATGGCCCGCAAGGGCGGCTGCGGCGTGGTCGCCACCGAGGTCTCCGCCTGCGAGCCCGTCCGCGCCGGCGTGCCGCACTGGGCGCGCCTCGGCGCCGAGGACCTCTGGTGCATCAAGCGTCTCGCCGACGGCTACAACCACGGCCCGCTCGGCGACTGGACCAAGGCGCCGCCGGGCCGCTCCATCTTCGTCGACCCAAGAGAGTTTTAGGAGGATTTTAGCTTTCCGTTTTTCCCTAGGCCTTTAGGGTTTTTTCCCGACCGTCCGATCTCCTCCCGCACATCCGACGGCGGGCAGTCGCTCCCTAGAACCAGCAGCGTCACCCCAAACATGTGTCACTCTTCATCTCGTCGTATTTCCCGTTCCATCACCATCACTTTTTTTTTTAGCTTTTAGGTGTGAATACAGTAATAGTAGTACCTTTTTCCCAGCTAAAAAAATTCAGAAAAGGGAGCTGCTTAACTGTAACTCGTTTGCTACGCGTACTTTTGCCTCATTGCCGTTTACAACATCCTGTGCGCACAGTACTTGCATGTGTATCGAAAGGCATCGACATGGAATAGACCTGAAGAGGATACATGTCTGTTGGCTGTTGCAATGCAACCGGCTTATTACCGGAATCACGCCGTGGCCGAGTACTAGAAACTTCGGCTCCTAGATCCGCTAGCTTTTGCTTCCTTTTTGTGTGTGCGCTCCTCTCTGCAATCTTCCATCTGTACGTGTTGGGTGCCGTGGATATGTGGTTGGTTGTCGCCGGGATGGTGTGTACGTGTAAACCCGTTGGTTGCCACGGCCCCATGACAAAATCTACGGGAGGTTCGATCGGGATCGGTCGAGCAAGGAGGCAATGATTCGGTCCTTGGTGACAACTGACAATTATGCTCTGCAAGTCTGCACAGGTTTCTCTCCTCCCACTCGGGCGTTGGTTCTTGTCGCGGGAATGATTGCTGCGCGAAATTGTTTGCTTCTGCAAACGAGTGGCTTCAAAGCGACTCGTGATGAGTAGAGACGGCGCCGATCTCGCGCGTCGACGTCCGTGGATGATGCGCTGATCCAGTGAACCAGTGATCCTACTGAGTAGCGGCAACCTGCCAAGAACCAGCAAAAGGACGAGGAAATTAAAGGAGGCTTAGGCAACGCGACAGCGAGCAGATGAGCTTAGCCATGGCGAACGAGCTAGCTAGCGAGAATTTCGTCGATCCCATGCACGCGCGTCGCGTACGTGCCATGCCACAATCAAGGCGTCAAGCCGGGCGCGGCATGCGGCGCATCGTGCGTGATAAAGAGTTTCACGGCACGGTATAACGTATAAGGGGGTAGGGGCGTCCGGCGTGAGGGGCAGTAACGATGTGCCGACACGGCCGCCTCTGAATTTACGGCGGCGTACGTCGTCGGCGCCGTTGTCATGCGGACGCCAGGACGCCGTATTTATGGTGGCCTAATCATTCGGATTCACCCATGGCGGGCCTGCAGCTCGATCGGGACACTGTGCATTGGCTGCTGCTCCTTTGTCGTCCAAAAATTTCAAAAGAAACAAAGAAGAGGAAATAAATCAAATCCTGCAAAGTATTTGTAAAATTTTAATTACAAGCTGGAGTATGGTCAAAGACCAGTAGACCTTGACTTCTTTCAGGACCTCTCAAAAAAGGAGGCCAATCCTACTTCAAGTAGAGTGATGTTACCAGTGATGGCCTCACCTAGTCACCTCCAAAGCTATTGTTGCAAGAATCTTGACCAGCCTAGTGGATCGACTAAAAAACAAACGAACAAGATTTGGTAATCTTATTGACCCCAAGCTAATGTTCGTAGCCTCGTACTGGAAATCTGGATCATGAATGGAAGGACACAGATTAATTAACAGAACTATATACAAGGCCTGAATTTCCTGTATACATGAGCAGGATTTCTGAATCCCAGCCTAACAGAGTAACAGATAGAAGAACAAAGATGAACTGAGACTGTGAGACATGCGAGTGGCAGGCACACTCACTTGTCAGAATTACTACTCGATCTGCATGCATAGCATATCCTCCTGTTAATTGGACTGCTACTACTGCCTGCCACATCCTTTCTTACCAGCTGGTCTCTTTGGGACCAGTTTAGATCCTGATTTAAGCCATGTGGAACAGAAAGGATGAAACTTTGAAAGGATACCAGCATAGTGCCGACCATTTGACCTTTTATGCAACAGTTCTGTGATCAGTGGTGTTCTCATTGCTAACTTACTATTTGTTTCGTAGGCCCATCTTAACTTTTCTACCTCAACAGCGTGCGAGAAGAAGATGTTGCATTATTTGATACAGTGAGCCTGATTTTATCTTCAGATTACACTTCATCAGAACACTACGCTCGTTGATGTGAAAATGTCTAGGAGAACTGAATCTGATGTCGCAAGATACAAAGATAAAATTGTTATGTAAACCCAAGAAGGTAGTAATCACTAGTTTTAAAAATGAGTACGCCCATTTTGCTCGTCAATGTGAACTGTCAAAGTAGCATTGGATTTATTTTCAGGATACAAAATCAGGAACCAAATCTCGAGAAACGTCCAGGGATTTTCTGGCTAGCTCCACAAAATAGTGGGCTAGTCAGTTTGGATTCGAAGCCTCATACTTTCTATTTCTATTTATTTGATATTGAGTCATTCCCTAATATTTTTGTTTTTTTTTTGGAGAAAAGTCTCTCCTAAGAAAAAGAGAGGACAAAAATCACTAACTAGTATCACATTCTGACATTACAAACCAAAGATCGAACATAATCTTGTAGATAAACTGCTACTGTTTTTCTCTGCCTTCCACTACTTATTTTCCACGTTTCTACTAGGTAGTGATAATTGGTGCCTTTTCTCGTTATTACCAACTACAGTACTCCGTATTACTCGAGCCATGTGAAACTGTGTTCTCTTGTCCACCTTCCTATCCTTCTGTTGCCACCAAGGCCTACCTGTCGACCTATGATCAAAGAGTTGTCTGTCTAACTGCGAATGATGGTGCCTATGGAAGCATTTTGCACTAAACAACGAAATAACCACAGATTCACAGAAGGGCTAATCTTGGGCCGATAACTGGGCCAACAATCCGGTTTGGCACTCGCACGAGCTCTCGGCCTTCTTGTGTCCCATGGTTGAAGCCTGTGGGCCTGATCAGTCTTCTATTTGAGCCCAACAAGTTGTCCATTTCATTCCTTGCAAGATGCCCATCACTCCATCAGCCCATGCCAACAACTAGAGTTTTTGTGTTAGCTTTTGGTGGCACCAGGAATACATGTTTCTTTGAAGAAAAACCCTCTGGCCTACTCTCTCTTTTCTCTCTCTTTTTTTTTTAAAAAAGGCTGCAGCTCTGCCAATTAATCATCTCGTCTACACGAACACTACACGAACAGTAAGTCAACAAATGATGATACAAGGAAGCTTCTGCTCAAGGTTTGGAGGCATGACTTCGACTCGTTCGTCATTCTAATGACATGGCGTCTTTGGAATGAGCGGAACGCCCGAGTGTTCGACGGCATCCTCACTTCCGTGCAGGCTCTTATCGCTTCCATCTTGGCTTGGCTTCCTTGATGGATGCGGGGGCTGGCAGCTTGGCTTTGCTTCTGGCCTCCCTCGTTCCGCTGTGTGATCCTCTGTTCCTCTCCCTTTTTATTTTTGTGTCTTGGAGTTTGTTTAGCTAAGTAGCTATCCATACTTTGTATTCAGTGGCGGTGGCATTAAAATATAGTTGGGACGGAAAACAAAGATGTTCATTTGATAAGAGTAATCGAACACAACACATATCGTATTAATAGTTCATTCGTATAAGCGTCTCAATCTGGTGGGTGTTTATATCTTGTTATACCTAATTTTGATGGCCCATAACTACTATAAGGAGATAAGGGGGTCTTGAGAGTGTGGGGCGATACGAGTCGTAGCTGAGTGGTCGACCCACCCCACATAATGGGTAGATCCGCTCCTGTTTGTATTTCAGCCTCTATAAATTCTAATCTCTTGCCCCCACTGCCAGTTTATGCTGTATGGTCAGCTATAGATTGTTTGCTCTTTTCTAATATATTGATGCGCAAAGCTGTTGCGTGTTAAAAGAAGATGATACAAAGAGTACTACTTCGTGTACCACCAAATTAGTCTTCTCTCCGGAAAATATACCCATATAATAATCACCATTGGCCCATTTCGTGTATCCTGCCGCCTTGTCAAAGCCCTACGGAACATGTGCCTGACTTCCGAGAAGATTGGGAATTAAGTGGCAGTTAGGCACTCCAACAAGGCGAGTCAATCTGGACTCGACAACTGAATGGAATTTTGCCACGGCCCATGCAATTTTCGAAGGAACGCACCTAGGCTTGGAGTTTGGAGTCCAGGCCGAGCAAGAAGCCGCGTGGGTGAGAGAAACTGTGGAAGTGAAAGCGTGGCCAGGCGAGAAATCGCGGGGTCGCCGCGGCGCCGGGCGTGAGATGGCAGCAGCCGCCCGAGGAGATCTCGCGCGGCGCACAGAGGAGGAACCGGAGCAAGGCCACGTACGGAAGGAATTGCAAAGAGCCGCGGCCTATGTGAATGTGATCACCAGCCGTCGCAAAAACAAAACTCACTGCACTGGCAGTGCAACGTCCAGGAAGGCAGGCGTTGCAGCGGGTTTGAGTGTTGGACTTGGCTCAGCCGAGAAAGGAAACGGATGCGTCGCCCCTTGAATGGGTAAAAGTAGAACGAAACATCCAAACATGCTTCTAGTATCGCACCAATTCCGTCCCGTCGTGGCAGCAGCAACTTCCTGTTAAAAGAAAAAAGGGTAGGAGTAGCATATGCCATCACCGTGTCGTCAGCTCAAGATCACGTCTAGAACGAGCACACCCCGAATCCCCCGGAAGACGTGTGCACCGCCGGGTCTCGCACGAAACCCGCGCCACGCCATGTGAAACATGCCCCGCGTAGATACGTACATCGCGTCTGCCCAACCCCGTCGACGCTTCAACGCGCGCCTCGTACGCGGGCAAGCAAAGCCAGCCAAGCGGAAGAAGCATCGGGGCAGCACGAGGCGGAAAGCCCAACTCGGCCCTCATCCATTCCGTATATTTCCGTTCCATTCCAACCATGCGGGCGGCCGCGGTGCGCCCGGGCGGCTGTTCGTCGAAAGCGATCGGTTCCATCCATCCATCCATCCACCGCGCGCGCGCGGGCAGGTCGGCAAGCGTGAAGTTATCAACGCACAGCCGCCCGCCCGCCGTCGCTGTCGCGGCCTTTCCACCACCTCCCTCCCTCTCCTTACTCTACTACCCCAGTGGGCGCCGTCGATCGGCGTTCCCAAAGCTGCAAAACCAGCCGGGGTTTGTCCGTTCCCAACCCCGGAGGGTACGGTAGCTGTTACATGTCACTCCACGGCCGACCCCAACTAAATCAGACGGTGGAATAACAGTTAATTAATCCGGATTTCACGTCACCGAATACGTGATCAAGAACGGTCTAGATTGGCAGCTCTTGGCGGTTGGCACAAGGGGGTTAGGTTGAGTGCACTTCTCTGCTTCTGTTCTGTGTTGTGAATTGATCAACTAGAGGCTCCTGTTTCTTACCGTGTCTGTAAGCAAGGGAGACTGAGGTGTTTCGGTTCTGTGCAGATATGATCATGAAATCAATCTGTGTTTATGTTACAGCGTACTGTAGTACTGCACACGAATCAATCTCCAAGGCTGTGTTTAGATCTAAAGTTTGGATCCAAACTTTGGTTCTTTTTCATCACATCAACCTGTCATACACACACAACTTTTCAGTCACATCATCTTCAATTTCAACCAAAATTCAAACTTTACGCTGAACTAAACACAATCCAAGTATGGTCGAATATGGTCTACAATATATGACTGTCAAAGAACAAAGTGTAAAAGATACAGGTACAGTTCCAGTGTTACAAAGAACCAAGGAAGAGCTAGACCTATATCTGTATGACTGTATGTATGGCTATGTATCACTCGCTTGCTCTGTACAAAAGCAGGAACAAATTAAACAATAGCGGCACAAAACGAATCAACGAATAGTGTGTTTCGACTGAATTTCACTCCCTAGACAAAAACTCTCTGACGGATCGGATCCATGCAGCTGCTGAATTACGCGGTGAGAAGCCGGGGCTTCTTGAAGGCGAGGGGGCTCTGGACCTCCTCCTCCTCGTCCCACATCTTCTTGCCCTTGGAGCACGGCCGCCACACGAACTCCGGCACGGCCGGGAGGTTGAGGTCGAACGCCCGGGTGGCGGACTGGCCGTTGCCGGAGCTTCCCACCTCGGACTCGGCGGCCACCGTGGCCAGGAGCTCGGTTGAAGATGCGCCGGCGCCGGCGCCTACGCCACCGTCGTAGTGCTTCCTCTTGTGCCCGCCGAGCGCCTGCCCGGTGGGGAACTCCTTCTGGCAGATGGAACACCTGTGGACTCTGTTGGTCATGCCGTCGGAGGACGCGGCGGTGGATGACGTGGCTGGCTCGCGGTCCTCGGCGGAAGGCAGCAAGGCGGCGACGGGGGCGGGAGCCAAGACGGGAGCTGCGGGCGGAGTCGGCAGCTTGACCCGGTGGCTCGTCTTGTGGCCGCCGAGCGCCTGGTAGGAGCTGAAGGACTTGCCGCAGACGGAGCACTTGAACTCCGCACCTGCCGGCGGGGGCGCCGAAGCCGAGAGCGGAGGCGGCGCCTGGACGCGGTGGTGGCCGCCGCGGGCGAGCATGAGGAGGCAGAGCGCGAGGTTCTCCTCCTCCGATCGCTGGCGGCGCGACCGCTTCCGCTTCGCCCACCCCTGCGGCAGGTGTCCGCCCTCCTCCCCGCTCGTGGCGCTGCTGCTCGTCACGACCGTCGCCTCCTCCACCTCGTGCTGCTGCTGCTCCTCCTTGAGCACCGCGGCGTGGAGCGCTTCCATGGACGACGCGCTCGACATGCTTCCACCGCAATTCACAAAAGCAGCAAGCAGATCGACGACTTGTTATATCCGCTAGCTAAGCTTCGCTCGCTCGCCTCAAGCTAGTGTGGCAGCTGGCTGGTTGCTGTGTGGTGTGGTGTGGTGTGCGGAGTGGAGGGAGTGAGATGTGAGGTAGTTTTAAAGCAGTGGGGAGGGGTGAGGCGCGAGCGAGAGTGTGCGGAGGAGGAGAGAAGAGAAGACGTGGGAAGTTGCGTCGTAGGTGGGGGCAAGGCAAGCGAGGTGGTTGCGGCGTGGGCGCGCACGCGGCGGGGCGCGAGAGGGTGACGGGTGGGGGCGTGTCGTCGTGGGGACGGGGTGGCAGCGACCGTGAGACCGGTGGAGTGGCGGCGAAGGAGTGAGGCGGTTGGGGTGATTGGGTGGGCTTGGCTTGCTGGCTGGCTGGTTCGGCCGGGCGGGTGGGTGGTGGAGTGGAGGAAGAGGAGGAGGCGAGGCCACAACGAAAAAGTCGTGGTCAACGTGGTTGGGAAGACACGGGGATGGGAGGGCAAGCCAAAGGGAAGCGCAAGTTGAGTGGAGCTAGTGTGGCTGCGTGGGAGGTGGGGAGAGTGAGGACTGAGTAGGCTGCGCGCGCCGTGGCCTGTGGACTGTGGCGAAGCGGTCGTCGTCGTCGTCGGTTGTTGCGGGTGGCTTTGGGTTTGGCGTGCAAAGCGTACCCGCCCCGGTAACGACACTTCCGCCCGCACACTGGAGTGGCCAAGTTGGAGCTGGGTTAAGAGATTAACTACGCAACCGTTCAGATTTTGACACCTAATATCTGAATCGGGACACTGGCAAACCATCACAGTCAGTTTTTTTTTGTGGCATGGATTGGATGAGATGATGAGCAAGACTATATACTTGTATTATCCTACTATATTAGGTTACTTCCTGCGAGTAGATGATCTGTTTGCAGATTAGGAATGGCCAAAATTATCAACGCGTGGAGAAAGGCTCTATATAGGTATAGGAGTAGTTGCTTCAAAGTTTACCACACTTCTGAGAATAAAAGAGGAAGAAACCGTGAGTGATAGTGTGAAAAAGACAGAGGGTCAAATGGATAATAGTGGTTCAACCCCGCGGGCTATTAATTAGCACATGCCTAATGACACAGCCGAAGTGGTCATCGCCCTCGTGCTGATCACTAGCTAGACGGTTCCGGCTCCGATCCACGATTGCTCCGACCCGATAGCAAGTCAGACCCAAACCAGGCAAAATGGCAAATGGAGTTGGGCCGGAAGTGGTGCGTTCATGGAAGATTCCAACAGGCTGGTCTCCTTTTGGGGTCAAATAAAAATAACTGATCGACTGTGAGTTTCCGTCGGCTCAGCCGCTGAGGTTGCCATCGGCAGCCGGGATCTTCTGCACCCAGCAGCTATACCTGGTCCGATTAGGTAGGTCACTGTCGCATCGTTTAACGTTGATGCACTCAGTTATAAGTTAGAGCGCCACTAGCACTAGTGGCACCGCTCTATCCGTCGCTAACTGTGTGTGGACACATTTTCTTTTTCTTTTCTTTCGGGGCAGTTTGTGGACACACTGTTGATGCCACAACAGTTATGTGGTTCTGATTCCATTTTGATGCATGGGCCCTTGTGTCAGTAAATAGACAACATGGCTGTGTTGGAGTGGCACCACTTGCTCTATAGTTGCCACTAGCCCACCGTGCCGCAATCATCGTATTGTTGGGCATTGCATACATAATAAGCTAACAGACTGCTATATATATCATATAATTGTTGTTGTGCATGGAGGCACACATCCCACGCTACACTACACTACATTACTACCGGGCCATATCCTATTACACACTTGCTATATGCATGATGCAACGTACGCAAGCTCTCATCCCACCGGATACGTCACGCACGTTGAGACCGGCCGCACCTAACACGTCGCTTCTCTAGATAAAACACTCACACACACAGTACACTTGCAGGATAACTACTGGGCGTTTTTTTGCCCACGGGCCGAGTGGCACCCCAAAAAACCGCGGCAGACGCCACCCCACACGTCGGATCACACGAAGCAACGCGATCATCTCCATCTCCTCCTGGGTCGATCGGTCGCGTGGTCGCCTCCCCTCTCGTCGGCTCCGTCCGTGCAGGCGGCCGTGGAGTCATGGACTTTTCCACAGAGGCGAGCAAAAGATTTCAGCGCGAGATGTGTATGTATCAACCGGGCGCATGCCGTGCGTTGCGTCGCGTCGCGTCCGTCCCCCGCGCGAGGCGGGGCAAGCGAGACGTCCCCGTCTCTCGCTTGTGCCCCCGCCCCGGGATTGATACGATACGCGCGGCGTGGGGTGGGCGCACCGCGCGCTCACCTCTCGCCGTTAATTCCTCCCTCTCCCACCACGTGTTTCTTGTGCTTAACTAGCTTTCGCCGACGCAGTCGCGCGCTTACGTACGTACACCTACGCAAGTACGTAGGAGTACGCGATTGGGCAGGCGGGCGGCTCGCCTAACCACACATGGCGGTCGATTGGATCTGGGAGAGGCGCCGGAGAGAGGAGGAATATAATCATCAGTGCGTGCGTGATTCGATCAGTGTGGCCAGCAGCCAGCCTAACCAGTAACCAACCTGCAACCACCCCTCGCCCGTGCCACTGCCGTGCCGTGCCAGTACAAGCTCATCAGTCATCCCGGTTGTGCTGTGCGCGATCGATGCGTGGGCGACGTAGCGTTACGAGCGTTGCGAGCGGCGACGACGACGGCGCGAATCTGAGCCAGCGGTGGTTGCCCGGTTGGCATGAGGCTGGTGAGTGTGGTGAGCTATATAGCAGGGGGTAGCAATTGATAAAGCACCTGCACCTAACTACCTATAACAGAAACAGGGAAAGGTTAATGTTTTTTGGGGGGTTGGTTGGCTACACTGATGAGAGTCTGAAACCTTCCCATCCATCGACCGATCGCCGGCTTCTTTAGTTCCAAGCTACTGTCATGAGACAGAATCTGGTTCGTTACTCGTCGGTGCCGCGCTGTCGCTTCCCTGAAAAAACGCATTGTACCCTTGTTTTTTAATTAGGACAAACTGAAAAGATTATTGCGAAAGCAAGCTTAGCAGTCAGCACCAGGTTACACCTTCATCAGCTAGCTCAGCAGGCATGTCAAGGCTTCAAGCATGGCTATGCTAGCGCTATTATATTTTCTATCCATCAAAACATCAACTTTATTTCATGGCCACACAGCAGATCGAGAACTCGCTTACAGTGCTCTTCTTAAGCAACCTTTGCTTGATTGCCTGAAAGCATACACGTGTCGCCAGCTAGTTGAATTGATTAAACTTGCTGGTCTAGCTGGTTAGGCATACAGTTGTCTGGCCGGTGTAGTAACATTTTCTAGCTAGTTACATGTGACTGATATTGCTTGCCGTATCGGGTGCCATTGAAAACTGCGGGGAGAAGAGTATTGTGACAGCTACAGTCTCCAGCTCTAGCTGCAGCTTGCAAGACTGTCAACATGTGGACGTGCTGCCAACGCTCACAGCTATGTATGTACTACTAGCACACACCTACAAGTACAGCTAGTCGAATGAATTTAGCCATGATGTCTGAAAAACACTTGCTAGCTACTATTTCCAGAATGAAAAATAAGTGACGAGAAAAAAAAAATGCAATACAACATTACAGCACCAACATTGCAGTGTAGTTAATGGCAATACATACAGCCTAGCTAGTTTTTCTTTCTTGTGGCTCCAGTCTGTATCTAATGATGTATTAGAATCAACCATGCAATGCAACTGTCCCAATTCCCTTCTTGCAGTTTAGTACTTAACTGAAAGACGATTACTTCCCTCCACGATCTGATCGTTCGTTAATTACTCCGACCAAATTTTGTTTGCAATGTAGGGAATACTTGTTCTTCAGACTGGCAGAATTATTGGATGATCAGGCACACACGAGTTCGTTGCTCTCACACTGTCTGAACCATTCCTTAATCAGAGCCAATTTGCATTCCCGCGTATCTTTCTCATCATGTACAAATCTATATATCATTGTTCTTTCAGATGTAACTGGAAGCTGGATTTTTGTACCATTCAGTGAGCATTCAGACGTGCCACTCCCAAGCTAGCACACGTAGCTACCTGAGCTGTATCAGAAAATGCTAATTTGATCATAGCAACCATACAAATACTAAAGCATATCCACTGTTCATTTGCTTCATGTTTCCAAGATCAAAGAAAGCTCCATTGTTTTCTCTGCATTGCAGAATGTCACAAGACGAACTGCAGCAACCAGGTCAGGTGCAGTGGACGCCGGCGCCGGAAGAGAAGTCGGAGATCGCGGTGCAGTTCTTCACCGCGCCGTACCCTTGCCAGAACGGCCAGCTTGATCACGGCGAGCACCATGCACTAGGTGGCATTGGAGCGTGCAGCTCCGTGCATTGGCAACCTGACCGTGGCACGTGCTACTGGCCGCCGCCTCTCAGTGGGGACGGCGGCGGCGGCAGCGGCAGCGGCAGCTCCGGCACCGGCGAAGGCAGCTACATCGGCGAGCGCTGCTACTACGTCGGCGAGCCCGACGTGCCCATCGGCCTCAACCTCCTCGTCGGCGACAATGACGGCGCCGGAGTAGTACTCCGTGACGCGGCGCCGCAGGCGAAGCGGAGGACTCAGGCCGGCCATGGAGGAGATCTTGGACGGCAGAAGAAGAAAGCTCGAGTTTCAGATAAGGTACGAAACAGCGCAAAAATTCATGGCCAATTGAGAAGATCTACCGTTGTAATTTGCACGTGATTATGCAGCGGAATCAGGAGAGTATGCAGAGCGGCAGCTGCTCCGACAACGAGTCCAATTGCTCCCAAGTGAACCGCCGCAAGGTGGATCGTGTCGCCGGCGGCGGAAACGGGAAGGTTCCGGCTCGCCGGAGGTCGGCGACCATTGCCCAGAGCCTCTATGCAAGGGTAAGCCCAGCATTTCTGGAGCCTTGCAGGTGATTCAATCTTGCATGTTGGAAGTATTGGTTCAGAGTTTTGTTCCATGTAATGCAGAGAAGAAGAGAGAGGATCAATGGGAGGCTCCGGATTTTGCAGAAGCTGGTACCTAATGGAACCAAAGTAAAGAATCGAACATAATATATGCTCATTTCTAGAGAAAATGAGATAAGTTTCTAGCAGCATTTGACCTGTTACTTCATGGCTGTTCTCAAATATGTTTGCAGGTGGATATCAGCACAATGCTTGAGGAGGCCGTCCATTACGTGAAGTTCTTGCAGCTACAGATCAAGGTAGAAGTCCAAATGTAACATCTCTGCTCTAGCTATGCGTTGTTAATTGTGGTCCTTGTCTTATCACAGAGTTTGTCATGATCAGATGCTTAGCTCTGATGAGCTGTGGATGTACGCACCGATTGTTTACAATGGCATGGACTTGGGAATTGATCTGAATATTTCCCCTCCCCGGTGATGGACTCAACTCAACTTACTACCATCTCAACGAGTTGAAAAGAGGATGAGTGAAGGCTAAGAGAGCAATGTGGATGGCTAAGTATACGCAATCTTTGACACTGACGAAATTACAGACGTAAGGGTTGCCATCTGCCAAAGTCTCATCTTCAAACATGAATGATCAGATCCTATAAAAAAACTACCGGAATTCTGGTGTGACATGTTCTCAAAGCTGAGGCCCTTGCTTCCATGCTATAGCAACTAACCAATGCTGTAGCCAATTTATTTCGAGACAAGAAGCAAAGCTCACACAAATACAGGAAGTCAATGCGCATGGCCTTCGTGATTATTCAGTTGATGGTTACACCAAACTTATTCTTGTACGAATTTCCAATGCAACTGATCATTGGCAGCACAGTTGCATCCATGTATTGATGTACCCAAGGGATGCAAAATTAAATGGAGCTGTACACACCTAGAAAAAGTAGAAATCAAGATCCTACCAGACATTGTAACCATGATGTTTCCTAGCACAGTTTGTGTTCCATTGTAGTCTAGCCCCTGTAGTTCTATTGCAAAGTTGCAACTTCAAACTCTGCATCACCTTTGCCTCTAATGTAAGGAAAAAAAAAAGGATAATTTTGCACCATGATAGCGGATTTTCCCCCCTGTTTGCTACAAGGTGAAGCCTATAATAGAGCTTTGATAATGTATTGACGCTGAATTGGCACTCCTCGACCACCACCAACATCACATCTCCTCCAACAACACTGTTAACTTTAGCATATGTCAATGTCACTATATCAGCAGTTACCCTGTAGCTTTCAGATACAAAGATTATGCTGTGTACTGCACGGATCAGCATGGAGCACGTGAGGCTGAGATCAAACGTGCAAAAATCTAATGCCAAAAAGAACTTCAAAAATACAAAAGAGAACGTGCACATGTCGATCCCCTTTTGCCAACTCTTTATCATTATTACTGGGCCTCAAAAAATCAACAATGATTACATCGTGGTGTGGTTACACAATAGCAAAAACAACACAAGCTACAACTACAACCCTAGTGTCCTACCTGTTGGCAACAATCAGGGCCATTAGTTTAACCTACAGCTAACCCTAAATAATATCTTACAAAGGAAACGCCATCATTTCCTTGAAAACAAACATTACAGGTTTCAGAAGCTATTGCGATCGTACCGTGCTGATGTCCTTCGCATGCCAAGTACTTTACAAGACCCAGCGAATGTTCAATTATGATGACTGGCAGTACAGGGATCAGAAGTTAGAGATGGGCTCGCATCCAACAGATTGGGTGGATGGACAGATGATGTGTTTCCGCACCTTAGGTAGGCAGCTCGTCATGCTTCAAGGTGAACAAATTTATTGCTTCCTTTCCATTTGGCCTTGGCAATGGACTAGGCTGATGGTATGCGATAGAAAAGTGCATACTAGGTGTATGGGCCGCAGAGCCAGGACTGGACCTCAAACTCATCGGCGTAGGGGATAAGCTACGAGTTTCCAAATTTGGCAGGGCTGTCAAGCCTACTGCCACCCGATTAGATAATGAACCGGGAGATCTAGCACTGCTTGTTTCACTGGCAGGAAAAAGGAAAGAGATGGCAGGGTTAAGACTTGAGGGTCTCACATAATGCAACTTTCATAGACAAATTAAGCAATAACTCGCTAACAGAGAAAGGTCAACAAGTACTCACCCAGTTGTAATCATATTTTTCCCCCTCATGCATGAAACAATCTTACAGGACTTTTTGTCTCTTGCATTGTGACCGGTATCCTGCCATAACCAGAAAAGTTATACACATGCATGAAAATTGGTACTCAGTACAGCATTCCCGTGAGTGAGAAGCATTCTTACGGTGGATTTAAGTCCAGTGGGAGAATGTAAAGCACTGTGCTGGTTGAAGTTATTCGAATTGTGGACAAATGGATGCTCCAGCAACTTGCTTGCTGTTGGTCTCTCAGCTGGATTTCTTCTGAAGCAGCATCTCAGAAATTCCTTCCCCTCCGGGGATAAACTGTCTGGAATTGACGGATCTTTATGCAACACCTTAAACATTGCAGCAGGCTGTTGCATAGGGAAAATCAGATTTCATCCTAGTGAGAATACAAATACCATGATATAGAAATATATTACTTTTTTTAACGCTCATAATGATGATCGAGGCAAGGTAACAGATTTGACAGGTTATCATTATTCATTAGATAAAGCCAAGTAATGAAAGATGAGCTATACTAATTATACAAATTCACCTCGTGAAACACATTAATTTGCTAGCAAAAAGAAGGGAAGGTTCCAAACTGTTTACCCCTTCAAGACCACTCCAAGGAGGCTTTCCTGTGAACATCTCAATAATTGTGCAACCTAGGCTCCAGATATCCACAGCAAGATCATACCCTACATCTTTGACAAGTGTAGCCTGAACAACCTGCAATATAAGTTGTGCAAGTATGAGTACACCATACACTGATGCGATACATTTCTATTCGGAATAGCAAAAAAGATAAAAGAAACTGCTAATCTAAATAAATACCACTTTGCTGAAGACAGTAGTATGTCTGATGCTAAGGAGGGTGATTCTAAAGTATGAGATATTTTATACAACCATAAACATCAAGGTCCTTTGAGGACACAGGAATTTCATAGGATATTAATAGAAAACAGTTCATTTCGCACAGGAACTGGAGAAGACTCCCATGTTCCAAACCGAGTCTAAGATTTCGGAACCATTGGGAACATTACAAATCAGCTACTCCCTTCGGCTTTTAATGAACAACGCAGTTGACTTTTGGGCATACGTTTGATCATTTATCTTATTCAAAAAAATTAACGTAATTATCATTTATTTTGTCGTGATTTGTTTTATCATTAAAAGTACTTTAAGCATGACATCTATTTTTGCATATTGGCACAAAATTTTTGAATAAGACGAATGGCTAAACGCTTGTCGAAAAGTCAACCGCATCATACATCAAAAAACAGAGGGAGTTTTGACATAATAGTTGTAGTTTATGAAATCTAATAAAAAATACACCATGAAATTTATATGAAGAACAAGCAGTCTCACCTCAGGAGCCATCCAGTATGGAGTTCCCTTCAGTGAAAGATTAGGAGCTGCAGTACTCAACTGAAAAGAAGATAAAAAGGGAAAAATAATTAGAAACGCAGCAAGGTTAAACCTAAAAACTATAAAGTCCACTCACAGAATAACCATATACTCATCAACGGTTGCATCTGGAAAAGCACTCGTAAAAAATAGTAGGGAATACCAATACTGTTTCAAATGAGCCCCGTTTGGATCCCTATACGTTGTGCTGAATTGGAATCTAATTTCCAGTGTTTGAGGTGTTTGACTCCCTCTAGACTTCTAGACTTTGAATCCATGATCTCTTAAAATTCCAGAGGTCTAAGGTGTATAAGACACTTTTTTTTTTGTTAAAAACACAAATCAAATGGAATCCGAGCCAGCCGTGTCCCCGTTGCCTTCCCCAGGTGTAAACGTGTAAGGTCTCCAAGTCTGCTGTCTCTCCTCACCTCCTCAGCAGGCTGGCCCCTTCTCCACCATTACAACCTTCCCTTCCTCCACTACTTGTCCCTCTGCCTGGCTTCCAAGCTCTCCCTTGCTTTCATTCATCGTTGCCACCACCAGCACCATAGCCACAGAAAAGCCTGGGTCACTGTCAGCCTTTTCACTCCTTGTTTGACTCTCCCTCCGTCCTCGGCACTCTACCCTCTTGCCCCCAGCCACTGCTGCCAAGCACCATAAGGAGTATGAAGCACTCTATCAGATCGCCCCCAGCCACATCACGGCTTGAGATGAAGGGGATTGTGTCATGGTATCTGATGTTTTTTTTTTCTTTTGATTACTTTGATTTTGCATCCAATGCAATGCCTAGGTAGGATTCTGGCTATGATCCCAATCTCAACATCCAAACACTTTTTTCTGAGTTGATTCATTGTTATAATTCCACTCATCCAAACATAAATATTTGAATTGGAATCATATTCTAGCCAATTCAAAAATCTACTGGAATCCAAAATGGAGTCCAATTTTTTAAATTTGTGGGATCCAAACAGGACCTTAGTGTCACACCAAACTGTTTCCCTACAAATTAAAGCAGCTGAAAAAGAGAGTTTGTTTTACCAAGTATAGGTTTACATTTATGCATAACAGCTTATGCCCACATATAGTAATGGCATGGTAGTCATTGTGCTGGTTATAATTACATAGGCAAATAAATTGCTTGTTTCAGAGCTTAATCATTTTTTAACTGCACCACAAAATGGATGGACGTATTATTATTGTCTAGAAGGCAGCAATGACAAGATTAATTCAAACAAATCAAACTGGATTACCAACTACTGGATAATTGTAGCATAACACGATGCATCAAGACAACATGAGAAACTCACATGCTTAGCCATTCCAAAGTCAGCCAATTTGACTACACCATTCACATCAACAAGCAAATTTGCTCCTTTGATATCTCTGCAAGAGTATAATGATTTCATTTACATGTGTACTCTTTCAGCATCATGCAGTCCAAAGTTCAAACTAAATAACAAAGGAACTTGAGAAAAAAATATTTCTCGCAAAGTTGGGCCTAAAAAAGAGTGTGGGGAACACATGAGAAATGACAAAGGGCACAAATACACACACGAGTGGGATCTGAATCAGCTATAAGATGAATGTGGGTACAAATACAAAATAAGCTTGAGAAAACACAAAAACATAAACAAACAATAGAAACCAAAATGGCACAGAAATAGGATGAAGAAATCTCTACATGTAAAAAATAAAAGGAGACCATCTAAAAGAGCTGAACAAAAGGTAAGTTCAAGAAAACTTTCACATAGTGAGATGGCCATTATTAGTTAAACAAATGAAACAGAAAAAAGAGAAAAGGTTACCTATGCATAATCTTCTGACTATGTAAAAAGGCAAGGCCTTTAAGTATATGGCGGGTGAAGCTGCGGATTACTGATTCTGTCATTGCTCCACAATGTTGATTAACATATTTATTAATTGAACCAGGGTGAACATATTCCAGGTATATGTAGAATCGATCTTCAATCTGCAAAGTATCCAGATGATCATTGGATACATTAATAACTAGCGCATAATATCACCTCAATTTGGCACATGAGAACTTACATATTCACTGCCGTAGTACTGCACTATGTTTTCATGCTTGAATTGACTAAGAAATTTTATTTCCTGAAACAAAGTGAGATCCAGTCAAAAAGAGCAAGGGCAGAACTTACATAATCTTTAGATATAATTATAGAAGAGGAGAGTACTCAAGCAGAGTTACAATAACATTATACGACCAAGTTCAAAAAAGTGATATGCATGCTAGAAACTAATATGTACTTGAGGATAGTAATAATAATATTTAATCCTCAAAGTAAGAGAAAAGGTATTCTGTTGTGGGAAACAGACACATCAGAGAATAGTATTTGATAATACCATCACTGCAGAATAAACATCATCCATCATCTATGTTCTTACAAACTGATACTAATAACACAAGGCCAAACCTGCTCCAATTGCTTGAGAGACTCAGCTGATTTAGCATCATCGGGAATTATGTTGACCTCTTTCATGGCACACAGAGCTCCAGTGTGTCTGTACGTTAGATGCCAGATGAAATGTTCAAACTTTAAGATGATCCAGCAAACATAATGCTATATAAAATGCATTTGCATACCTATTGGCGGCCTCATATACACATCCAAATGTTCCACTGCCAATGAGCTTTCCTTTTTGCCACTGACCAGCCATTGAGGGTGCATCAACTTTTGGAACTGGCTGGTGACTAAAATTCGTCTGCTTTGGGCTTACAGAGGCGGGTGGGAGGGGTAATGGATGGAAATTTACACTCCCATTGCCCTCAGGACGAGAAACATGGTTCTCCGGGAACAACTTTGGATGCATTGGTGAAGGAGGTGCACTTGGGTTTTTTGATCTTAGAACAGGGCTTCTCAATGGACTGGAGCGAGGAGATCGCTCCTGACTACCCATAATTTTTTCAGGTGACGCACAACGAGGTGAAGATCCATATAGATCAGGAGACCAGACTGACTGTGCTGACGATAAATTGGCACCTTGGGTGGATGTTGCAGTGGACAAAAAGTCTACACTACTCAGTCTTCGAGGACTCTGTACAGGGCTTGAAAATCCACTGCTTGGAGCACTTTTAGCGGGTATGTTCAATCTGAATGTCAATGTTTCAGCTGAGCTCTTATCCTGTAATTTCTCTTTAAATGCCTTCCTCCGTTGTCCACAGTTAATCCCATTTGTGCCATTTGATCGCAAGTCACCATGCTCAGGGTTTTTTTGCACCGTTTTAGCCATCACTCTATATTCAGAAACATAAAATCATCAGAATCACTAGTAATACAGAACTGCACCACGTTTCCAGGGAACATGAAACGTTTTCTGAACATGGAATAATCTAATCAGTGTGTAATGGAGCTTACAGATAATTCAAAAGGAAGCATAGGGAAAGTTGAAAAGCATAGAGATGCACTATTGGAATGTTTTTTTTCATTATCTCCAGTATCAATGTAACATTGCTATTGGTATGAGATATGTGCACAATGTTTTTGTAACAATTCACAGGCTTGTTGAATCTTTATTTTTGCTTTATCTTAGCAACTTCATGTAAATCCAGTTCAACCAAATCAAGTTACACTGACTTTGTTATTGTCAAAATCCTAGTATCCTCCTACTAGCTATTAAGTTCATAGAAAAGCAAAATTAACTTAGTAAAGTGTTATCCAGCTGGACCCTATGAAGTACAGCAGAAGTCCTAAACCCTTTTAACTCTATTTAGTCAAAACCCTGTAACAGTGGCAAAGAATATCCTCCTTGGTCTCTGAATCCCTGGGCATTTTTATTTCACAATTTGCTTAAATTATTCTCATCCACAACAAAGATTCTGCCATCTTAAGTGTTCAAATGCCACTGCTACTGCGGCATGAATGAACAGTGTTATACCTTCTTAGATGGCTGGCAAAGCAGCAATCCCAATTTGGCTCAGAAATGCTAAATCAGTGCGAGCGGACATCATAGCTAACTAGCTAACAGCCTAACACACTATCCTTTTGATGATTCAATAGCAAGAACTAATTAACTTGGCAGAGTTCGTACTTGGTCAGCTACGCAAGGAAGAATCTAAAGTAATAACACTTGAAAAACTCTGAAGTAATAAACACTTGAAAATCATCACCTCGGAAACAACGATGCTCTGTCGCTCCCGATCTCGGAAACCCCGAGCAAGTTCGACTCCACGGCCGACCCGTTGCAGTCTCCTTCGAATAGCTTGGGCGACGGGAGGGATCTCCCGGAGCCGCGGCAGGGCGAGTCCCCCTCATCGGGCAGGGGCAGCGGGTGCGGCAGCAGCACGGGAGACGACGACGACCTCGGCGGCGCCACCTCCATGTTACTCGCGGTCCTCGAGATCGGCGTGGAGCTCGCGGTCAGGAGGCCGAACCCCACCGAATCCCTACTGGAGGGGCACGACGAGGGCGCGGCGGGCGAGGGGGAGGAATCCAGCCCGAGCGCCGAGACCCCGACCTCGATGTCGTCGACGTGCCGCAGCCGCCTCTGCCTGGTCAACCGCGGCTGCGGATCACTCCCCCCACCCCAACCAAACCCCACCACATCCCGGCGGCGGCTGGGGACACCGCCGCCAACGCGGGAGGTCGAGGCCCGCGCCGGGGACGCGGGCGTGGACGCGGACGCGGACGAAGAGGACGGGGACGGGGAAGGGGAGACCGAGCGCTTCCACCACCGCATCGGCGAAGGCGAGCGAATCCTTACCTGGAGGAGCAGCGCGAAACCCTAGTGATCACAGTGGCAATGGCGATGTGAGGGGTGGAGGCGGATGAGGAGAGGGGGATCGGAGACGAAGACGACGACGACGACCCCCGCCATTTGGGCGAATTTTTTTTTCCCTCTCCGCTTCTCGGGAGTCGGTTTTGCTGTTGATGTTTTTTTTTTCTTCCGCTCTTTCTTTCCCGGGGTTTGGTCTATCGGCGAGGGGGGGCACGCGGCTTTGAGGAAGAAGTCCAGCAAAGTCAATGTCTCCGATGCACATCAAGTACACTGCACACGGCTCCCTTTCCGTTCCGTTTCGTTTTTTCTTTTGGGGATTTTGCTTCGCTCTTTCCTTCCGCTTGTGTCAAGGTCTTTTTCCAAGAGTAATAATACTAACAGTTTACACTTGTGTCTAGTATACTTCTGATGTAATCACATGGATGTAGCGATAAATACTTTTGGGTGTTAATGAAACACTGATTGTTTCAGGCTAGTACTTTAGTGGTACCGCTTTGTGTCCGAAACACTCTAATGAAAGCTTAAACCTAGTTACTCTCTCCGGATTGATAATACTTGTCGTTTTGGATAAGGACACGGTCTTAAAAAAACAACTTTGGCCATTATTTTCTATCATAATTTGTAAAAAAAGTATTAACAAATATATGATCTTATTAAAGTACTTTTTAAGACTAATCTATACATGTGGTCACCATATTTGAAAGACAAATATATTCTAAAGTTTGATCTTACCCTTATCCAAAACGACAATTATTATCAGTCCGGAGGGAGTACTGTATTCTTTTTACATTGATTTTTGTGCTGAAAGCACGTGATTCAACTATGTCTTGCTAATTTCTTTATCTACTACCAGCTCCTATATTACTACTAGTTGACAACTTACATGTAAAAATAAAATGATATCACCAGCATCATTATTGACCTTTCCCTAAAAAAAAGCATCATTATTGACCATGACTCATTGAGAGTGCCATTAAGATGCCAACAATCTCTATAATCCTAGGTTACATTTTTGTTTTTTTAAAAAAAAATTTCGGGGAACATTCGTATATGTTGCTCTACAATATTTTCCTATAAAGAGACTTTCTATGTAACATGTACAACTTATTATTGATAAACTCCGACATGTATACATATGGTACAAAATACTACTCTCTCCGTTTCATATTGTAAAACTTTATAGCATTACCCATATTCATATATATGTTAATAAATCTAGACACACATATATACCTAGATGCTACCTATATTCATATAGATATTAATGAATCTAGACACACATACATATACCTATATTTATTAACATCTATATAAATATAAACAATACTAGAAAGTCTTACATTGTAAAACAGGGAAAGTACATATTACTATCATCCATTTTAGCACACCATCTGTGAGAGCGAGCGTAAGAAAACTTCTAGTGGGCTTGACTATGGCGAGTCATTTGTTGGCATAGTAGTAGCTATTTGCATCTTTATACTTAGATCCTCGTATACTCTCTCCATTTATTTTTGACAGGCATATTTTCTAAATCTGAAAAATTTACTTTTGATAGGCATATTTTAATCTAATCACCTATCCTCTAAATGACTTTCTCGAATTTAATGCGTGATTTTCCATTCTTCTACACAAGATTGGCTACATAGACATTGAGAAATGTAAATATTAATGAATTGCTTGTTTACGAGGAATAACTAGTAGCATGTTTAAATGGATGATAAGTATAATTACTTATCCTTGGTTATTGTGCCAAGATAAAATAAAACTATCAAAATTAGATGGAGGGAGTATATAACACTGTAACTTGTAAAGCGTAAATTTATGGCTTCTTTGAAACACATAGTTTTTAAACATTAAACACCGATATAGGGTACTCGAGTGCCTTACACCTTAAATTTTGCTAATAGAAAAACTACAATGACGACTATTTGAGGCGCTCCTTTGGAACGTGTGAACTACAAAATATAAGAACAGAAAAGGCATAAGGGCATTCCCAACCAAATGATTAGGATGGTGTCTATAGCATTAAATAAGTTACCACCTAGGACAAAAAAATGATGTGACAAGTGAATAAATGAGGAAAGAGAAGGAAACCATGTCTTGCATGAGACATGATTTCTACACAACATCCAAAACATCATATGAGATAAGTAGTATTAAATTGAAGTATGGAATAGTGGTGTTTGCATTGGAAGAGTAGTGTATAGTACTAGTTTCTTGATGATGTGGAGTTTATAGAAATCATGTCTAGTGTTATGGATTGGGACTGCCCTAAAAACATCATACATATACAATTGTTGTAACAGAGGCAAACACCATCCCCCATTCAACTGAAACACTCTCCCAATACTAACCAAGGATTTTTTTTACTTAAGACAAATACTTTTCGACCCCTTATGACATGAAAAATACTGTTCACCCATTTGTGTTAGACAAACAGAAGATATCCGGGCAACACGTCGCAAAGCCCAGCTTGAAAAATAGTATTCAAATTCGTCGCAATAGGAAAATACTATTCGACAATGGAGAAATGAGCTTGATGGTCACACCATCGAGTAGGGATTATTCTCTTAGAAATATCATGGGGACCACTTCTGCAAGCTAGCACCAGTAGCTTTGGGGCACTTGAATGTACAACTACACCTTAGAATTCCTAGTTCATCTCATATTGGGGGTAGGTGGGGAAAATAATACTTCTCTATCTATCCCCGATTTGTCGGTGACCCGGTGTCTCGACAATAAATTTTTTAGGATATGTAAACACATGAATTAACCGAACAAAATTTGCAAAAATTCAAGAGGGGAATATTATTGTAGTAGAGTTGAGAGGAGATGAAGATAGAAAGTGCTTTGGACTTCTCAAAGTAAGATGGTGTTCGTTTCTATTGAAAATAAGGATGAAGTTGGGGTACGAAAAACAAGAAAGTCATTAGCGTATGATTAGTTGAGTTTTAATTATTACAAACTTGAAAAATGAATTATCATTCATTTTAAAGCAACTTTCATATAGAAAGTTTTCGCACGAAATACACCATTAGCGGCTTGAAAAGCATGCTAACAAAAAATAGAGATAAAATTTGTACCTTAACCAAAGGCAAAACATGAGATTTGAGCTCACGTTTGAAATCATAAAAATAATGAAAGAAAATAATGAAGGAAAATAATGATTTTAGTGAAAATTTGCTAGCACAATCCTATAGTCCAAATGACAAGATACTTTTATTCTAAAGGAGCCCTTGGATGGAGTGGAAGAGAAACATAAGAATTAAACGAGAGATTGTCAAAAATGATTTTTTCTAACTTATTGGACCTCATGTTGGAAACCCTCCAAAATCCTATGATTTTAGAAAATCCTGTAGAATTTCAAATAAATTTAGAAATACTATTTTTTATTCAAAAGAATCATATATAAACCTTTCATATACAATAATCAAATCCTTTGAAATTTTTCAAAGATATATTTTTTTCCATACGAGCCCTTTCTTCCAAACCATCCAAGCGAGAGGGGGGAGGGGTGCGTGGGGGAGAAGGCAAAAAACCCTCGCAGAACATGTGAAGGCGTGGTTGGGCCAGGCGCCCCCAGAAAACCCAAATTTCAGCCCACGCAAAACCAAAACCAGGCGAGCGAGGCAGCGAGCGAGCCCCCTCCACCCACCCGTGCGCCACGGCCGCAGTGACAGAGCCGAGCGAGACGAGACCCAGACCGAGCGAGCGAGCAGGCGGGCGGCGCGGCGATGGTGTCGGACTCGGAGCTGGTGGAGCGGCTGCGGGAGGTGCTGCGGTCGTCCGACCTCAACACCACCACCACCGCCATCCTGCGCCGCCGCCTCGAGGAGGACTTCGGCGTCGACCTCTCCGACAAGAAGCTCTTCATCCGCGAGCAGGTCGACCTCCTCCTCTCCGAGGTCGCCGGCAAGGCCGAGCAGGAGGAGGCGGAGGTGCCCAAGGAGGAGGAGCCCGAGACCGGGGCGGAGGCAGCGGGTGGAGAGCCAGGGGGCGCTGAAGGGGAGGGGGAAGAAGAGGAGGAGGAAGAGGAAGAGGAGGAGGAGGAGGAGGAGGAGGAAGACAGTAGCGGCAGCCGGAAGAAGCGGCGGTGAGGGGCTTTTTCGCTCTCCATCTCTCTCTCGCTGCATTCGATGCGTTCTGTAGGGTCCTCTGGGCGCGCCTGCCTCGTCGATTTGTCGGAAAATGTGGCTGCTCTGTGCGTTCCGTGCCTGGTGTTCGATGCGAGCAGTGCTGGAGATTTGGGGGCTTTCGTGCGTGATGATTTGATCTTTGCTCGGAGGGTTCTGGGGTTGCATTACATCCTAAGTTTTTTTGTTACTACAAAAGCAAAGCAGTTCTCTAGTTGGGGAAATGCCTTATGGGTCTGCTTGGTGATGTGATTTTGTCCAAATTAGTGAGCTATTGCAAAGATTTCCTTGCATTTGGTATTGCTAGTTACATCTGTGCGAAGTCGATTCGCTCTAGCTGTTCATTGCTGTAACTCGCTAGGCATTTTTTGGGTGATATTGTGCTGATTTCGCAGGATGTTCTGATTGATTTGCTGGGTCTGGCTGTTACTCTTCGAGAAGGGCGTTAGTTTTGTGCTTTAGGTGACCTACTTCCGTTCAGTTGTTGTGTTTATGGAGTATTTATGCGGTTGTGCCTGTTGTTTTTTGGTGGGTTTTAGGTTGCATAATGCTAGTTAGGAACTTAGGATGGTCTAATGCTTAGGTTCGTGGTAGGTTGATGTGTATGTGAGTTTTGCTGGGCCGCAACTGGATGCAACTTTTGTTTATGGTTACTACAACATCCTGCTGCAGTTATTTCTGCACTTCCAACTTTCCGAGTTATTCTCGATTGCAAGGAAGACAGTCACAGACCACACCACGCAAGCATATCACATTCACACACTGAACTGCACACCATAGCATATGCCTAAACTGATGAAGACTAGGGAATAATCCGTAGACCTAACAAAATTCATACCAAGCTCCATCTTGTGTGTACATTAATTTGGTTCACCTGGTAGGTTCTGATATTTAATGGAGTGGAGGCTATGATCTTTACTTATGCTAAAATTTAGTGAATATTCTATACTTGATAATTGCTGCAAAATATTCACAATCAATGGAGATGATGCGGTGATTTTACTCCTCAGTCCTTACCATTTCACCCACTTACTAGCTCAGGGACATCCCCATAGAACTGAACCCATTCTTTGTGCACTTGGTAGTAATAGTATGTTACACCGAAGTCTTGACAATTCAGGCCTTTTATTTGCACTCAAATGTTTTATCTGTTTTTTGGTTGCATGTCCTTGGTGGCTCCAGTTAGGATCTACCATGTAAACCTGTGGAAAAGTGGCAAACTGTTAGTGATTTATGTGTTGCCACGTGCTTTCATGTTACTTGGCACTCGTTTGATAGAATGTGGTGGTGTATAGGCTGACTAATATTTGTGTAGGTAGAGGAAACTTACTGGCTGGATTGAACTAAACAGGGTTTATTGAATTACGTCTGCTAAACTTCCGAGTTAGTAGGTTGGGTATTTTCTGCTCCTATTTCAGTGCTCTAATAATATTTGAAAGATGTTGAAATTATTTACTTTGATTTTTTTGCTGCTCAGATGTCTTGAAATATTTTCAGTGTTATGGAGCAGTCACCTTTAGTTCCTCTCTGTCAGGACATGGTTTTGCTATGATGAATTGAAGGGTAGATTTAGGTTTCATTGTTTCTGTTACAAGCTATGGTTTCAGATTATAATGAAATATCTTGGACAGTCCGAGACAATAAAGGAAAATCTGAGCTGATATGTGTGAGAAGATGCTAGCTGTAATCAGTTGGTATTTGTTACTGTTAATCCCTGATAGATTTTTTGAGTTCTAACACTATTAGGTTTATTATAGAGGGACTTTCATATGCCTTTTTCATTGAACTGTTGCTAACAACTACTCCCTCCGTCCCATAAAAAACCAACCTAGTACTGGATGTGACACATCCTAGTACTACGAATCTGGACATACCTCTGTCCAGATTCGTTGTACTAGAATGTGTCACATCCCGTCCTAGATTCGTTTTTTTCGGGACGGAGGGAGTAATGCATGCTGTTATTCTTATGTTGTGCTTTGGAGCTGTACTCCTGCCTGACTCATGAGATTGAGTGGCAAAGTGACTTATCATCATTGTAGATATATTTATGCAATGTTCTTTGAGCATGTCTTAGCTATTAAAGAGTTTTAAGTAATATGTTTTCCTTTCTGAATGGTCACACTATACTCAAAGAGTTTATTTATTTTTATCAATGACAATAGATCAGATGGAGCCAATACTGATGGCAAGAGAAAAGGTGGTGGCTTCACCAAATTATGTAGCATTTCCCCAACGCTTCAAGAGTTTGTTGGTGCCTCTGAGTTAGCTAGGACAGAGGTAACACCACTTGCTAATTATGGACATTTCTTAATACTTCATCAGATGAATGATAGAGTAGTTGATCGTGAAAAGGATGTAGGGTGGCGTTTTTCTTGATTTCTTTAATCTTGTGCTTATGTACCTTCAGGTAGTCAAGAAGCTTTGGGCATATATCCGAGAAAATAACTTGCAAGACCCAAGCAATAAGAGGAAGATTCTGTGTGATGAGAGATTGAAGAAGATCTTCAATGTCAACTCCATCGATATGTTCCAAATGAATAAAGCATTGACGAAACACATATGGCCATTGAATTCTGATGGTCTCTTTCTCTTTCTCTCCCCTGCCCCCCCCCCTCTCTCTCTCTCTCTCTATACACACGCGCTCGCGCACAAACACAGGAAGAAAATGGGCACACACTGTGGTCCAACTTATTACAGTGCAATTTTCAGTATACTTTCCTCAACAAGTTACCATCATCTGGCCCTTGCCTATTACATAGAGATATGTGTACTAACCCAAACAGGAAGTACATAGAACCTGCTGTTTCATGTTAATTTACTCCTGACTAGGTTGCTGATGTTGCAATATTCTTTTATTTTTCTACTAGGATAAAATTTCTGATCACTGATGAATACACTACAACACAGAATTGTGCGCGGGCACTGCAGTACATAATAAGGTTTTTGAAATCTGAGCATGGAGGTAGTAGAATTTTTTTGCAGTGAAGTGGTGAGAGAAAGTAAACAAGAAAACGCAGAAAGAAAAAAAATGACCATTAAGTAAAGGAATACGCCAAACACAAAAGCTCATGTTAAAAAAGTTTAATGATATTAGGATTTTATTTGTTGAAGTAACCTGGGCTTGACCTAGGTTGTGGCTGTATAAGTCACTCAGTCAGAGTTCTTGCAGGAGTCCAATGGGCACCTAAGTGACTTAGATGTCGACCAGGAAGGTGTCTTTGGGTTCTTATGTTTTGTGCCAATAGGTCCGTTTTATTTCTTGCTTATGACTTTTTTTTTTGTTTTACTTAGTTTTGTTTGAAAGATTACACTAGCCCTTAAATTGTTCGAGTAAGAAGCTGGACCATAAATATTTTTCATCTTTCTTATGAGTCCAGTTCCTATTGTTTCTGTTATTTGTAACAGCACTACAGCTGCTGGCATGCCTTCGCATGATTGCATCCCAGTTCAGAGCAGCATAAGGAACCATATACACTAAGTTCCAATCCATATAACCTCCAAGTGGGCAGGTGCTCACAAAATGCTGTTTTACATACTCAGCAATAAACAATCATATTTACTGTAAAGCTCACTGCGATCTTAGTGTTTCTTCTAGACTAAGCTGGACATCTTTTACTACCTGAATTGTGTTAACATTATGTGATGAAACCACAAGGGAGAATCTGTACAGCACCCATTTCTTTTGCTGCTAGCTTACCCAAACAACATATTTAAAGAAGACCGAATATCTTGTCCATTTTCACTCTTTGGTTTGTGTGGTCAAGATCAGTATAGGCCTTCATCAATACAAGAATGTATTTGTTGATAAGTCATGTACTCATGTACCTAATTGTAATTATGTACTTAATTGATGTCTTGTTATGGGACCTTCAATGCTTGCTAATTTCCTGGCCAGCTTGTGCTTATTGCCTAGGTAGCCCTCTGCCATTTAACATTCTTAAAAGGAGTAAATGGTGTCGGTGGTTCCATGCCACATAATTAGCTTCTTTGCTGATTGAACTAACTCTAGTGTACTACTCTGCCAGATCTAGCTCTGAGTACGTATTCTGATACCTTATGGTTTTTCAGGTCCTGTGACCTCTGCCTCACCTGAGAGATCAACACCCAAAGAGAAGCCTCAAAAGAGAGAAAGAAATGAAGGTTAGAAAAATTTTAATTAATTCTCCTACAACCATGATTTTCTGTTCTCATAATGTTGTCATTGAAATTTCCTATCAGGGAAGAAGCAAAAAGGTGGTTCTTCTGGGTCTGGATCTGGTTTTCTTGTGCCCCTTCAACTTTCGGATGATTTAGTGAAATTCATTGGCACTGGTGAGAGTATGCTTTCGCGATCTGATGTTGTGAAAAGAATGTGGGACTATATAAAAGAGAATAAATTACAGGTAAATATTTTCCCCCTTGATATTGATGTACTTGTTTGTTAATCTGTTCAAGGCTTTATGATACTTTGGACATCCTTATGGTGCGACATGCAATTTTTACTGTCAAATTTTATATGAAAATGTTAGTAAATGTTAAAGCATGCTATCTTATGAAGTCATTTTTCATGAGAGATCTATTTGTTATCATTTTTGTATTACCAATCTAATAGTTTTTTTTTACATATTACTACTCGAGTTAGAGAAGGTTTTGTTATTAATATTTTTGCAGGGAGAGTTAGAAAAGTTTGATCGCATGCTTTTTTGAAACATCAGACTCCCTCAGTTGCAAAATGTAGTTATTTCTGAAGTTCTAATTTGTCCCATAATTTAGCTATTCCTCCACCTACCCCCTCGTCTCAACCAATCACAACCATCTCCCATTTAATTTCTCCACCTACTTTTTCTTCTCAACCACACAATCTTCCACCATTCAATTTTACCTACTTCCTTAATTCCTGCGGAAATCTCTCGAAATGCTTACATTTTGGACGGAGGGAATATATATACATATACATACATATATATGTATGTATATGTACATACATACATATACATACATATATATGTATGTATATGTATGTATACGTATATATGTATATGTATATATATATATATATATATATATATAGGACACTCATATGGGGCACCATGGTGCCCGGGCACCATGGTATCTAATGCACAAAATCACTCAAAATTTTCAAAATTTTCAAATTGTGAGTATATACCTAGTTATAATAATTCGATTCATACCTATACCTATCAACAAAACAACTCAAATTTAACTTTATTTCACAATCCATGATTACATACCTAACTAATTATATGTATGGATGCTATATACCTAGAATCAAAATCTAACAAAAACAAGTTCAAGTTCAGGTTAAACTTGCTTTGAACTAGTTAGTAAAGTAGTTAATGTTAATACCTAAGTAATTGAAAAAGTTTCATACTCATTTGAATTGGGTATATACTCAATTTCAACAATGGTACCCGGGCACCATGGAGCACCAAACAAATTTAATATATATATATATATATATATATATATATATATATATATATATATATATATATATATATAAAATACAATATTGGTTTCAATATACTTAGTGGCTTACGCTACTGATTGATTTAACAGCACATGGGAAGGGTTGCCTTGAAATGTAATGAAGAAAAACTCACTGGACGATTCAATCCTGTGGATGTATGAAAAATTATGCTTATTTCAAATGTTTGAATGTTTCTTATTTGTTTAGTCTACTGGGCTTGTATTATATTGGACGACCCCGTGCATGGTTAATGGGGCATTTATTTGGAGTAAGTAATATATAATGTTGCCCTGTTAAGGCTAACAATTAGTTGGTACTACAATGTATAGTGCCTTTACTACCCTGGACTGGACCACATGCAAGCACTCTGTAGATCCTAACTATATTTTGTTCGCATGACAACACATACAAACTACCTCAGTAGATGATCAAGTATATTGTCAAACTGAGATATATAGCGCTGGTAACGGCAGTGAGATCCTACAGCCTTGGAAAAGTGTAAACGCAGATAACTCTATTTTATGCTGGTCTGGTATACTTGTCTACTTGTTTCTAAGTTACTACAGTTGTCACCAGCCTCTGGAATGACACTTCCAATCGATAGTTTTGTTTTGAGACGTATCATTATTACATCGGTTTTTCAGTGTCACCAATCCAGACCTGAACTTTTGGTTGTCTCAATTGTTGTAACAAAACTCTTGCATTTGTTTGTTGCATGCACCTGTTAATACTTGGGAGGTTGCAAGTATTGGAATTAACCGAGTACTGAAACTTTCCTATATTGTGCTGATCCCTTTTAGCTATAGCAAATCTGACACATCAAACTTAATTGTTTTCTTCCTTTATTGTTTTCGTGGAAGGATCCTTCTGACCGGAGGAAAATAATATGTGACGAGAAGCTGAAGGATCTATTGCAAGTTGAATCATTCAATGGCTTTACTGTTTCGAAGCTGCTTGCTCCCCATTTCACCAAGACAAAGTAGTGACTTGCACCATCCAGATCTGCCAAACCCAGAAGGATGGGTAATTTTGTTTTGCAGAATGTGTAACATGAAACTGTTAGGGAACTATGTGAGAAATGTGGAATTTTAACTTGTGGGTGGGATCTCCTTCCGAAATCAACAGTAGGTTCCTAAAAATCTAATGAAGTTTGCATCTGTTGACTAACCATTTCGCTCTCCCAAAAAGATTGTAGGGACATAAAAATTACGCTTTAGATCTTCTGTGCATTCTTGCTGAGCTATTGGTCTGCCATATTATGCTGTGGGGTGAGGATAAGATTGCTTGTCTCCACAATGAGACTAGTGCTTATGGCGCCAGAAAGGCAAAAGGATATGGCACGAGCATTCCTCTGAAGACTGCAGATTGCAGGGGTTGTGAATTGGGGCTTGGACGTTGCATCGAGTCTTTCACTTTTGTGGCCGCTTTATGTGTTTGCACTGTTTTTGCACTATAGGTGGTTCCTCCATTTCTGTGGGAAAGGCCACAGCCACACGTGTGTAGGTCACTCACATTCATTTAAGCTGCTTCTGCTGCTATTAAGGGGGTGTTTGGAAAGTAGGGACTAAAGTTTAGCCCCTCTCGTAAAAGTATAAGTTCCTATGGGAGGGACTAAAATTTTTGTGAGCCTCCTTCCTAGACACCACCTAATATTGCTCGTTATTACACACATTTCATGAGAGATGCAGCATCAAATGCTTCGTTTTAACTCTCTGGCTGTGCATAGTTGCTTCATCCATGCAAAGGCGATTAGAATCTGGTTATTTCCGGTCAAGTGATGATTGTGTGAATCTGATCAGCTCGACACGATTCTGTTTCTCCTCCAGCCAACTGTGGCATCGTTCGCTGTCTCCTTCGGCACTTGTCGCCGTCAGGCGGTGGTTGCAGCGCTACGTCCGTCCATGTGAAGTGGGCTCCCTCCGATGGAACCGTGGGATCCTCGTGCCCCTTCTCTGCAATCCAATATTCCTAACGCCATATTTAGCGACGATTATTGCTAGATTTATGTATCAATCAGTGCTACGGTTTCTTCCAAAACAAAAATGTTTGTGATGTATCAAATTATTGCTAGATTTTTGTGATGTAGTATCAAATTTGTTTAAAAAATGATTTCAGTAATCACCTGTCAAAATCGCAGCAGCCCCAGCACAGTTTGCTACTAGTGAGCCGTGACAAGATTCTTGACAGGAAGCAGTAGTGGTACCACTTGAGAAATGCGAGGAAGAGACGCTGTAAAGCATCTCTCGGCGAACGCCCCCGGTGGTGGCGTCGCTGTTACGAGCACGCGGATTCTAGTTGGCGTCCAAATCGCCAAAGATTGGGAGCAGATTCCGTCCAACCCAGCCGAACCAGAGCCTGAGCGTGAATCATATTTTCGCAGGGGGAAAACTAGAGAAAGATCGGGCGAAAGATTGGTTCCGGGTGCCGTGTGGCCCGTGCTCCGGTCCCTGTCGCGCAGATGGCCCCCGATTCGTTCCATTTGCATGATGATGCCCTTCTTTTTTCATTGGGAAAATTAAGTTAGCCACGGCCGCAAATATTTCAGATTCTCATAGGCTTCTGTGCTCCACAGGTCATTTTATTTCCCGGCTGTGTTGACAGTGCCTCGTCTGAAAGGAAAAATTGTCAAATTTTCTCTGGTTGTACGGTAATTCGTACTGTGATCTGTTTTTAATGTTTTGAGGGTGCTAGCTTAATCATGGTCAAACGTTATGATGTCAGTGTTGTGAGCCGTGGGATTAACCTAACATCCCGTGATAGCGAGGAAGATACGCATTACGCATGTGATATTTTCCCCTTTTGCCTCCGCTCTGGTGGTTGCTCTTCCTATCTCTGATCCTTCCCAAAATTGAAGGGGGAAAAAAAAGAAAAGAAGAAACAATCATCACGACATACACACAATACTCAATACACAAGCTATTGGGATGCCACTTCACAGAAAATGTCCAGTAGTGGGACTGTGCGAGCTCCAAAGGAGCTCCAAATTGATTCACGCGGTGTAGTATTTACTATCCATTTTTTACTTTTCCTTGTTTTTATTATGTTTTCATTTCTATATGTGAAGATTTATCGTATGCGATATTTTTTTCCTTATTTATCTATACTGCCTAGTATAGGCAGTATGAGGTAGTTTGTGCGTATATGTGTGGAGTGGTGTTGTACTATATGGCCTCTCAAAATTTCAATAATCATACCAGTTACTTTCTCTTTAATTGGTGAATTTGCACCAAGCCACCAACTAGGCAACTACTGCAAAAGAGGGAAGATATCAAGAAAAAAAAATCTGGGACCAGACTGACAGGAAGGAGGCGAGGTCAAAGCAAACATCTTTAGCAGCAGATAGGTAGAGATAAGGATAATGCTAACGCAGCTCGACGTGTTGGTGTGCGCCGTGGAGAATTGATATCGTTTGCCGGCTTGCTCATCTCCTGCAAAAGTCAAAGCCTTTTATAAAAAAGAAAAAGGAGAAGAAAAAAAAGCTTTAAAACTTGCAATTGGCTAAGCAAGACTTTTATCCCACTTTTGGTGGCCCTCATTTGCATGAAACGAGTTCTAGTGCAGTACATGTGTACTTGCTTGGTGCCTGTTCTGATGTTCTCCACGTGATTGAAGAAAAAAAAGAATTTCGAAGGTCAAACATTTCTTAATTGTTTGAGTAATTAGTGTGGTTGATCTGATGGAGAGAATTGGAACAAACAAAATCCAATGCCTTTTGCATTTGGAAAACTAGCTGAAAAATTCACACTGATGTAGTAGAGAAAAAAGAAATGCATTCCGTTATGTGAACACAATGTACTCTTATTCTCATCCATGACATTATTTCTATGTATTCAACTACTATTCTTTCACTCTGACTAGCTTTTTTGGGGGGTATAACTTCGTCAATGGACTTGACTTTTACTACTATATGTTATCATGTTTATATTATCTCTTGCTAGAGAATATTTGTGGATCTAATCTCAAGATTCTGGATGGTTGAGATAATATAATGTCATTGAGAGGAGAAGATCATGCTGAAACTAGCTACTAGTCCATTGACAATCCTGGTCAGACGTTAATTTTCTGAGCAAATCACTCAAGCTCAAGCAAATAAATACTAATAAAAAATGCTTAGAGAATTGCATTGCTCTCTTGGATACCGGGATATTTGTGTGGACGTTAGGACCAGGCTGTCATCGAACACGCAGAGATGAAGACTAGAAAAATGCCATGTCGTTCTAGAAGATTCCTTCGCCTTGTCCAGGCAAGGATGAGCCATTCCCACGTAAGCCCTGAGATAGTAGTATTAGGTACGATTACGAATGCAACTTCTCCTTCCCAACCTTGTTAGGGTTTGTCACTGCCTTCTCTTTTGCTACTCATCTAGGAATGGTATAGTAAAACACAAAGAATTGCATGCACCTGTTAAAGATTTGGTCGTTTGTTGTGGCTAAGATTCGTCTGGTATTGTACTGCCAAGTACTAACACTTAGAGTTGATAATATCCCAAGAAGAAAAAGGCTATAGATACAAAACCTTTTCTTACTAAATTTTTAGTACCACTGATGTTATGCAAGTAAATCTATATTTTCTATAACTCACACATTAAAATCGAATTGTTCAGAGCTGTGCTTGTAAAATTTTGTTCTTTTACGTATAATAGAGAATTAGATATCTCTCAATATATTACCATAAAAACTATAACAAACGCTACACTAATACAGGATAACCCAACCTCTCAATAATTCGGAAGCACCACAAAATTCTAGCAATCCGTTTCAAAATTTGATTTTAAAAAGGTCTTCGGAGATGCTAATAGGATAGGGTATGTGTGTGTTTTCATATAGTTGAAGTATGCGCACGTACATAAACATATGTGTATGTAATGTACTGTGTTTTGTAAAAAAAATAAAAAGTTCAAAATGGAAAATATCAGTATGTGACCCCTGTTGCTGACTTGAGGCCACTCTGTGGGGCTGAGACGCCTCTGAACAAATAGCAAGCGGATGGGACCAAGCTACCCCGGCCAGGTAGCCATCGCCCAAAAGGCATCAAATTCCATTGATGCAATTGGAGGGGAGGAGTAAAGAGCACTTAGCCAAGCAGGGAATCCAATTCAGCACTACCAAATAATGCTCTCTTTTGGACGGAGAAGTCCATGCATGATTCATCTTGTGCCTTTGCTTCTGGGGCCTCTCCTTGTCCTATCACCTGGCTTCCTTCTTTTTGGTGTGGTGCATGCCTGAAAGTTGAAAGACGAGATTCCTCAGCTCGCACATCCAAAGTGCTCTCCTTTTGTTCGCTTCAGAATCCAACGTTGTCAAGATGGGGGAATTACATGTGCTAGCTTTTGGATTCCCTCTACCGCGTACTATTGTTCTCGTCAAGCATCAATCCTGGGGTTAAGAGTGTATCTCTAGAAAATGAGGGACCAAAACTCCAAACGGAAATTTCGGGATTTAAAAAGTTTTTTTTTTCTGAACTTGAGGATATTTTTGCCAACTTTGTGTGAATTCATTTTTTGCCAGATTTGTTTGAATTTAGCACTCGTTTTTACCAAATTTATTTGAATTCAGACTTGATCGGCTTGAACTCGCAGTTATAATTAGTCAAGCTGAGCTAGGCTTTTAGCCCGTAAGCTTAACAATCGAACTTGCTAGCTGCTCGCTTTTCTCAATAGAAAAAAAATCACATATTTATATACTTGGTGCTCCTCTTAACTACTTCCTCCGTTTAACAATGTAAATCATTCTAATATTTTCCACATTTATATTAATGTTAATGAATCTAGATATATATATTTGTAGTTATTTACATTGTTAAACGGAGGAAGTAGTAGTTATTTACATCCAAATTATTTGTGTTTAGTGGGTTCTATCTATTATTATGTTAATATACAATAAGATGGTGAATTTAAAATTATAAAGGTGATATAAGTGGGATATAACTCGTTAACAAGCTGGCTCGCAAGCCGAACATAACTAGACTTATAACTTATCAAGTTTAACTAGCCCAACCGAACTGGCTCGTCAACCAACTCTAACGGTGAGAAGGAATGACTCAATGTGAATCTTATTAATGAATAAAAATTGAAAATATATTGTTCATTTTATTTTTTCTTAGGAATATTTGGAATGTAATTTTTTTTCATAAATATACCATCGGTCTCGCACAAACGTCGCGGGCGGTATCGCACGGGCGCGAGACCGTGCGGTCTCGCAGAAAGGAAAAGAAAGA